TCATTACGTCAGAACCTATTCGGCAAATATGTTTCCATCTCTCCTTTGGCGGAGGTTTGCACTGTCAGAGTGCTTCTAGTTTTTTTATGGTATCTAAAAAAGACAAGTGTGTTTGTGCATATGTATAACAATAATTGGTGTGTTTGTGTAATATTGGTAAATATCGGTTATCGGCCACAACAATAATAATAATAATATCAAATATTGATAGACAGAAATTTTCATATTGGTGCATCCCTAACTCTGAGGAAACGGTGCTGGCTCACACAACCACATCTCCTTAAAGCACAAAACAGATGAAGATTAAATATCTAGTTTTTTCTCCACCAATATGTATGGAATTGAAAAAATTTTTTACAAATCTCGAAATTCAGTTTTTTTTTAAACTTTGTGTGGATTTTTTCCTCTATGGAGCCTGCGAGGGGACAGGGGGGATTTTTTCTTTTGCGTTACCTCGCAAAACTTTTTGCGTTCCCACACAAGATTTTTTTTAATGAACTGAATTAAATCAGACTTTTATTTTGAAATATCTGGTTACCGCAAAAAGGATGTGTTGCCACAAGTTCAGGAACTTGACATTAATGTTGCGTGAGTTAACATCTGCATACTCCCATGCATGGCTGTGTGATATTATCATTCCGAAGCTAACTTATAGTAGGCTAACTCGCTAATGGTGAGCTTGTGTATTTTTAATAAACCGCCAGGCACAACAGTGATAAACGACTTKTGCGTGGGAACGCAAAAGAAAACAAAATYCCTCCATGTTCCMYCGTGGGCTCCGTATTTCTCTKTTAATTTTGCTTTTAGGTTCTAAAACAAAAAACAGAAGTGAAGCAAACTGAACTGCAACCTTGCAGGAGTTTCACTGTAGCCTAATTTAAGTTTGATGCAGTYGATGAACATTTATGAAAATGAAAAGAATATTCTCTCTCACTGAATGAAACCCTTGAATTATTACAACACAAACATCTTAAAGAGCAGAATAGTGCTCTGGCACTAAACAAGCTGASTGGATCATGATGTGAATGCAGACATTTTACAGCAAAAACAGACTAGATGATGTAACTCTGTATAGGAGAGCTTGACATGTGGGGTCCACAGACAGAYGAGACCCTGACAGTGCAGTTCAGTAAAGCAGGAAGCCACAGCCAACACAAACCAAGGACATTTGGATTTACACTGAATGTACATCCTCTGAGGAATTCAGAGCTTTAGGAGCCATAAGGTAAAACAAGGCAGCAGTCATTAAAAGCTATAAAAATATATTGAGAACATTTTCTTGTTGAAAGCAAAATTAATATCCTTAACTATGTGGTGGACATGGCCAGGTTCAGAGTTCAGGTTTTTTTTTTAAAGTGCATCAGGATCTAATGTCTCGAGCGTCCTCCCTCAAAGGCGTGATGTTCCATGTGAGCTGAAAAAGTCAGAGAAATATCTTTAAATTGGACATCTTTAACGCTAGCATTAATACAAATAAAAACAATGTTATTTGACGTCAAATTTCAAAATTAAGCCTTTCATTTCAGCTCAAAAGCATTACATTCTTATTAATCATTACGGTTGATATTTACAGATTAAAATAAAGTAGCTCTGTCCAGTTTTGGAGACAAATGTTTTTACCAGGCAGTGACAGAGCTGGGTTAACATTACAGCTAAAGGAAAGCACACGCTCGTCATATTCTAATATTTTACACATCAAAAACACTTCGCACCAAGTTATCAAACTGGGTAACACAATCTAAAATTAACTACGACACACAACACCCTCATTCAGTTCTAAAAGTTCACAGTGAAAAGTTCTAAAGTTTTTACCTGGTCTTTGTTATTTAAATCTGRCCTCAACTGAACAAACAGATTTCACAGATTTATTATTTATTCTACAAAAACAAAAAATCTGTGTAAAAAAACCTGAGTCCACCCCATGATTCAGTAGCTCCTAGARGCATCTGTGATCATTTGAAGCAGTGGGTTTCTGTGCAACATTATCCGTGTCTCACATACTGTAGTTGTGGAGGATTTTTGGCCCAGTCCTCTTTATAGTATTGTAGTTTGGGGACACCACAGCGTTTCAGTTGGTTGTGGACTGGACTTTGACTGGACCGTTGCAGCACAGTGGCTACGTTCACACTGCACGTCTTAATGCTCAATTCATTTTTTTATTTTTTTGCATGAACATTTTGTTTTAAATGCGATGTCCACCGGACTCCAGTGTCAACTCTCCACGGTCCTGATGCGACCCACACACACAGAAGATGACATGATGTCACTTTCAGCCCAGTGTTTACAGAAGTAGCTAAACATGGATGCTAYTTGTTCAATCAGAGAGGATTAAATAATTATCAGACGTGTTTAGTTTAGTGTTTATTTCTGAATCTGTCACTGACCGGATGTTTCCGGTGAAGCATTTTATTTTTTGAACAAAGCAACGAGCTGGAAGTAAAAGTATCGATCAAGTAACTTTAGTWTTGATACGGTCTGGGGCYGACGTTGGACGGTACTATCATGTGTTTCTCTACATTCTCAGTCATCCAGGACATGGAAAGTAAAAATAACAAAGATGACGCAACTRAACTTCTGTTCTGTAGCTAAAGACRTGTAGTTACAAGATTTAAACAGCATGACTGAGTTTAGTGTCTTTATTRTTGGATCARTCTGCTTCTCCACACCTCMCAGATGTAAAAGTCAGAGGAAATGTGACATGGACATTCATACTGCAGTCGATTTTAAAAACATGTATAAGATTCAGTACCACATACTGAAAAGGCCTGAGTTGCATTTGAACAATAATCAGATTTGTCACTTTCTGACTGTCATAAAAACATCWGATWTGGGTCACATTGTGGCTGCAGTTTGAATGTAGCATTGATTCTTATTTCTATTTTAAATTAGCTGCTGTGTTTGTGAACATTGTCCTGTCCAGCTTCATGTGTGGGACTGATGGCCTCACATCTGACTGCAGAATCCTTTGGTCTACAGGAGTTCATGGTYGACTCACTGACTACAAGCTGCCCAAACCATCAGCCTTCCACTGCTGTGCTTTACAGCTGCTATGGGATATTTGTTAGCCTGGCCCTTGCCCTCCTACGCAGTTTTGTTCAATTCTAGTTTCCCTTCACTGCTCCATCTGGGATTTCTCCCATAGACGAGGATTTCTTCAGGAAAATTTCATTCGGGCCAATCAGAGAACAGAACG